AGAAGTTACGTATTGGTTGTAGTGCTGATAGTGGTTACTAATGGTGGTGGTGTTAGTGGTTAGTAATAGTAGTGATAATAGTGGTAAATGGCGGCTGTAATGATTAATGGTTAGTGTTGGTAGTATTGATTAGTGGTGGTAGGTAGTGGTAGCAGTAGTGGTGGTGGTTAGTGATGGTGATCGTGGTAACATTTGGCTACTGTACTGCCTGGTAACACTAGGCTGACAGTGAGGAGTGATTTACCATCTCCGCGTGGGCTCTCGAAGGAAGGCTTAGGAATGCATACTTTAACTTTCATGCGTGTGTGTGTGTGTGTGTGTGTGTGTGTGTGTGTGTGTGTGTGTGTGTGTGTGTGTGTGTGTGTCTGTCCGTCCGTCCGTCAGGGAGTGGTTCTGTTACCTTAACGCCATAACTCGATTAAATTACAAAGGATTTTAACTAAATTTGGTAAGGGGGAGATGACAAGACTTTAAATCAGGATAAATTTCAGTCGTTTTGCTCTTTTATTTTGCAAAGTTGTGGCTGATTTGTTTTCCATGGCGGGCCGAGGGAGAGGAGAGGAGGGTGGAGTGGCCAACACTTTTAAACGCCATAACTTGAACAAATAACAAAGTATCTTAACAAAATTAGTGTGCGGTCACATCACAACAAGAACTTAAATCACTATAAATATCAATGTTATCCTCAATACCTTAGAGAGTTATGCCATTTTATTTTATTTTTCCAGAATGGGTAATAATCGACTTTGTGATTGCGATAATGCAAAACACAAATGGCCGATAATGAAACTCTTCAAGGGGATGTAACAACTATAGTCTGAAGGAGTGTTGTAAATAGGTGGCTGTTGTTGTTTGGGTGGTGGTCAGTGTTTTGGCCTCTTGGGTTATACGTTGTGGTGAGGCGAGGTTTTGCACAACTGTAGGCAAACAAGGTGAACTAATCAACAACTTTTTTACCACCATAACCACAAGTCAACCATCCTAAGAGGTCAACTATCAACCATAACCACAAGTCAACCATCCTAAGAGGTCAACTATCCACCATAACCACAAGTCAACCATCCTAAGAGGTCAACTATCCACCATAACCACAAGTCAACCATCCTAAGAGGTCAACTATCACCATAACCACAAGTCAACCATCCAAGAGTCAACTATCACCATAACCAGAAGTCAACCATCCTAAGAGGGTCAACTATCACCATAACCAAAGTCAACCATCCTAAGAGGTCAACTATCCACCATAACCACAAGTCAACCATCCTAAGAGGTCAACTATCACCATAACCACAAGTCAACCATCCACTAAGGTCAATCATCCACTGGGGTCACAGAAGGTCAACCAAGCAGTCAGGTATGTTAAGGAGAAGGTAAATGAGAGGGCGGGGTTATGCTGACTGGTTGGGACAGTGGAGTGGAAGGGTGGAGGGACAGTAGAGGACGGTGGAGTAGACGGTAGAGGGACGGTGGAGGACGGTGGAGGGACGGTGGAGTAGGACAGGAGGACGGTGGAGGACGGTGGAGTAGGACGGTGGAGGGACAGTGGTGGGACAGTAGGAGTGGAACGGTGGAGTGGGACGGTGGAGTGGGACGGTGGAGGACGGTGGCGTGGGACGGTGGAGGGGACGGTGGAGGGACAGTAGAGGACTTGGTGGAGGACGGTGGCGTGGGACGGTGGCGTGGGACGGTGGCGTGGACGGTGGCGTGGGACGGTGGAGGGACGGTGGAGGACAGTAGAGGGACGGTGGAGGACGGTGGCGTGGGACGGTGGCGTGGGACGGTGGCGTGGGACGGTATACTTGGTCATACTCTGATGGTGGTGGTGTGAGTCAGTAGGTAAGGTGGTGGTGGTAGAGGGTTGTGGTACGGGTGATGATGATAATGAGTGGTGATAGTAATGAAATACCTAAAATAAAAATAAATAAAAATAAACAAAAACAAAGGAAAACAAATTAAAAACCACACACACACACACACAGACACACACACACACACACACACACACACACACACACACACACACACATATATAAGACAGTTTTAAAGACTATCATGGTGGTATGTATAGACGGTGTAAGATCTCACCGCACACTTAACAACACAAGCACAACAGAAAAGCTACACGGTCTAGTGGTGGTGATGGTGGTGGTGGTGGTGGTGGTGGAGGTGGTGGTGGTGGAGGTGGTGGTGGTGGTGGTGGTGGTGGTGGTGGTGGAGGTGGTGGAGGTGGTGGTGGTGGTGGTGGTGGTGGTGATTTAAACAAGAGAGTCGACATAGAAAATGAGAAAATTGAAAATAAAAACAATAACGATAATAGACGAAGAAAAACAACAAAAAACATCAACAACAGAAAAACAAATGCAAGTCTCCCCAAATTTTACTAAAAAAGAAAAAGATTTAAACAAAAGACAAAAACACATACAAGAAAGAGAGAGAGAGAAAGAAAGAGAGAGAGAGAGAGAGAGAGAGAGAGAGGTGGGGGGAAGTTAGGGAGGCTTGTAGGATGAGGGAGAAGGGAAGGGAGAAAGAGAGGAAGGAAGGGGGGAGAGGGGAGGAGGATATCCTGGGTCTTTTAATTTATATCACCAGAGTATTAAAATTACGGTGTGTGTGTGTGTGTGTGTGTGTCCAGAACATCTACCACCCACACACTTTCACTGACTACCAACCCTTCCCCACACACACACACACACACACACACACACACACACACACACACACCTTCCGGCCCTCAGGTCAAGCGAGTGACCGCAATGCAGAACTCATTTTGAATGACTTAATTACTGGAGTGTCATGGCAGGAAGAGGAGGCCTTTATGGAGGGTGGAGGGAGGAATGGAGGGTGGAGGGAGGGAATGTGGAGGGTGGAGGAGGGAATGGGAGGTGGAGGGAGGGAATGTGGAGGGGTGGAGGGAGGGATTGGAGGGTGGGGGAGGGAATGGTGGGGTGGGGGGGAGGAATGTGCAGGGTGGAGGGAGGGAATGCAGGGTGGAGGAGGGAAGTGCAGGGTGGAGGGAGGGAATGTGGAGGGTGGAGGGAGGGAGGAAGATGAGGAGCGAGGAAGGAAAGGGTGAGAGGCAAGGAGGGAGGAATGGGTAGGGGTAGGAATTAGGTCACACCCAGCTTGATGTTCAGCTTTCCTGACAGGTCAAGCTGCAGGTCGAACTGGGTCATTCCTCCCTCCTCCCCCCACCAACCACGACTCTCACATCCACCACCACCACCACTACTACCTCCATATCCTTAACCACAATTACAACCACACAACAACCATCACCACCACAATCACCAATATGTCCTTAACCACCATTACAACCACCACCACCACAATCACCAACATATCTTTAACCACAATTACAACCACAACACAACCATCACTACAACCACCACAACAATCACCAACATATCCTCAACCACCATCACAACTACACAACAACCATCACTACAACCACAACAAGCACAACCACCACCATATCCTAACCACAATTACAACCACAACAACCATCACAACAACCATCACAACAACCACAACAATCGCCATCACATACTTAACTACCCTACAAACCACAATAACCATCACTACAACCAAACAACCACCACCATCACCTCCTTAACACCCACCTCACAAACCCACAACCATCACAACAAACAACAACAACAACAACAACAACAACAAACCACCACCACCACCATCATCATCATCATCATCACCACTATTAAGGATTTCCAGCGAGGCAGAAGGATTCCGTAGGATGCGAAGGAGAGAGAGAGAGAGGAGAGAGAGAGAGGAGAGAGAGAGAGAGGTCAGAGGTGTGCAAGACCCCTGGTGAGGAACTATGCTTCGTCTATGTAGCATACTGCCCCCCCTGGGCCAGCCAGACGGAGGTACAGTATAGGTCATGTGGGGTTACAGTCATTAATTCACCTGTACCTGTAGAAACGCGCCAGGTTACAGCCATTAATTAACCTGTACTTGTATAAACACGACCAGGTTACAGTAATTAACCTATATCTGTAGAAACACTTACAGGATACAGTAATTCACCTGTACCTGTAGAATCACGACTAGGTTACAGGTTACAGTAATTAAACTGTACTTTCAGAAACACAATCAGGTTACAGTAAACACCTGATGGACACAACAACAATTACCTTTACTGAACAGGTCTGGCAGGTCGTCGCCCTAACCTACCTGCTGCTGTGATGCAGGTCAACCTATAAGGGTAGGTCATGTCCTGTACATATATACATATTTCTCTCTCTCTCTCTCTCTCTTTTACACGCCACCTTGGAGTGTAAAAGAACAAAACAAAATAGCATCGTGTCTCGTGTGGTTTATCGTGTCGTGTGGTTTATCGTGTCTCGTGTGGTTTAGTTAATAGTGAAGATAAGAGTTCGATGAGCTTGAAGAATTGTTATTTTTTTTTGTTCTATGATTAACATTTTGAACAGAACAAGATCGCGATTATGGATGACATGTACAAAAATGAACATCACGCAAGCTGGCTAATACTTCAGATACATCAGGCGATATTAGAGAGAGAGTGAAGTTGAACATTTGAACATTTTGAACAAGAAGAACATCACACACACACATACACACACTATACTCGTAGATAATTATGAACACTAGCTTAAAGGAAAGTTAAAGATTCTACATTGAACACTGAGTGAACATTACGCACTTAGATAATGAACTTCCAACGCGTTAATAGGCAATTCTAATCAGCTAAGACGAACATTATAGTGAACACCATAACAAATGAAGAACACAGGTAAGACAAGTCATCAGGGTGAGCCAAGGTGGTGGAGTGACACGCGAAGTACCTGTCTAGTACACCTTGTAAATTACTTCTTGCTTTCTCTATCAACTTTTTTCCTTTTTATCTATCTCTATCTTGATGTGTGTGTGTGTGTGTGTGTGTGTGTGTGTGTGTGTGAGATGTGTGTTTCAACGTCTATGGGCCTACTACACTTCCCTCACCCACCTCTCATGTAAACAAACCCACGTGTTACGGCCTTCCAAACTCTCGCTATATTATGTAAACAAAACCACGTGTTTATATGTTTACCTGTCCATTTAACACACACAAACACCTGTATATATTAATGAATTTATATAACACCTGACATGATAGTATTTACCTTCTCACTAAGCGACTTTAATAGGCAGCGGCGTCGTCAATAAATATTTAATAGATCATAAAAAAAGTGTAAGTTAGTCTTTATGTGAGTCTCTCTTAAGAGTCATCATTGCTTAGGAAATATTTGTTTTTTTAAAGTGAAACATATAGTAAGAATTGACGTATCACACACACACACACACACACACACACACACACACACAGTGATAAAGAATGTATGAATGTTGTCAGTATACATTTTTTACCGAAGAGAATGTTGAAGAATGTGTGAATGTTGTGAGCTTACATTTGTCACAGAGAGAATGTTGACTGTATGAATGTTGTGTACAGAGGGATTAATGTGACCTCACTACCTCAAGGAATACACTGGTTCAACCCCCTATTAGGAAAAACTGTTAAGGGCACTACACCGGTCAACCCAGGTCATGCCCCTCCACCCCAGTAGTAGGGTCATCACGCCAGGTCATGCCTCAACATAAACATTACCATACTTCTAGTCAAGGTCTATAGGTTAAGTTAAGGTTAGGTTAGGTTAATGACCACTACCATGCACATAGCAATTACCTATGGCAGAAGGGGAGGGGGAGTGGGGGGGAGGTTATGGTGGTTAAGTGAACAGGTGAGCGCCACGGTATAAAGCAGGTGGTAAAAAGGTGTACCCAGACAGGTAACATCCGCCTTATGACAACCATACACACGTACACAACGAAAGTGGAAGTCTCAGGTGTGTGTGTGTGTGTGTGTGTGCAGAAAGTGGAGAGGGGTGGAGGTTAGTCGGGGGGTGAGGGAGGAAGAAGGGAGGTGGTGGACAATGCCAGCCAGCCTGTACCCCCCATCCTCCTTCACTGTACTTTCTCTCCCAGATGCCATAACAACTCGACCACCACCGCCATCACAACCTCTACCACACCACTAACCGCACAAAAGGTTCCAGAAAGTACTCCTATATTTCAGGACCTCATTACGTGTATAGAAGAACACAGGTGTACGTATGACGCCATTTTGATTACCATCTCTGCTTCGTTATCTTGAGGAACAGGTACCACACACACACACACACACACACACACACACACACACACACACACACACACACAGAGAGAGAGAGAAGAAAATGAACTTAAGAACATCTGAGAATCGAACCCAACACGTGGTTTATGGAGAGGTTCAGATACGTCCGAACCTTTGAGAATCCGGTACCATGATACACTGTGAGGAAATTAGCCAAAATGAACCCCTACGTTAATTAATATCTGTCTCACGAACCCCTATGAATCCGGCACCTCGGCACTCAGTAAGACACGTTCCTAAGAGAGCTCACTGTAAACAATCCTGACCAGCTGACAGAACAATGGTGGGTGAGGGAAGGAGATGAGGGAGGGAAGGAGATGAGGGAGGGAAGGAGATGAGGGAGGGAGGAGGAGGGGAGGTGAGGGAGGAAGGAGAGAGGGAGGGAAGGAGGTGAGGGAGGGAGGAAGGAGGTGAGGAGGAAGGAGGGTGAGGGAGGGAAGGAGGGGGAGGAGGGAAGGAGGTGAGGAGGAAGGAGGTGAGGGAGGGGGGAGATGAGGGAGGAAGGAGGTGAGGGAGGGAAGGAGGTGAGGGAGGGAAGGAGATGAGGGAGGAAGGAGATGAGGAGGGAATGAGATGAGGGAGTAAGGAGATGA